AACAGGAATATGGTAACCGAACAGAGGAAAAACGCAATCAACAGATTCCATTTATATAACTGATGCATAGGCCGATTTTTTAGGCGGTGACAATACAAACGTAATTTTTTTTAAAATTGGGAGTATTTTTCGAAAATATTGCGGCTTGACAAGCATCTTAAAGGTGACCATTTTCGGGGATTACACCTACCACACCTATATATTAATACCACAAATCCAGGGACATATAAGAATGTACATAGCCAGTGTCCATGTTTGTCTGACATACGTTTTGAATACTGCTTACTGGCAATACTTTTCAGCTAGCACGGTGTCCTTTTTCAAGAACAATTAACAGTGTATTAAATTATCCATGCTCGATGCTATTTCGAGGTGGGCTGTTCGTCTGATCGATGACTCTTCTCTAACGGACAGTCTCGGGAACGCTATGTCAACGGGCTTTGCTCCTCAGACCTCTCCACCATAATGGGCTTAGAGGCTATGGAACAATATGCCTGGTGAGGTTTCTCCCAGTTCTACCAACCTTTATAAATCGGGTTAGCGAAGTTTAAGCTCCACATACCATCCGCGGTGCCCCGGTATTTAGCCTTCTCTTTACAAGGCTGTTTCGGTACATTATATAAGAAAAGATATTGAAGTTATACGAAGCGAAAATCTAGCATTTCTGGGAGTAGTTTTCCAACTCGTATTTTATTTTGAAATTTTTTATAAGCCACTGAAAACTAGATTGAACCATTTTTTAAGCAAATACATTTTTTTAATTTCTTGGGTTTAGCTCCTTAGTAACTTTTCTCTATGACCTTTCCTAGTTATAAATGATTCACAGGCTGAATAACTCCCAAAATGTCAATTGACAAATGTTAAAGCTATGACTAAGTAGTCAACCTTCCCCTATAAGACGCCGGAGGATATTTAGGGCTCGGATTATTTTAGAGCAATCTATTTAAAAGTTTCTAACGAGCTGTGCTCTACGTGAGTGTCTCTCAAGCATACTTGATAAAAGGTGGGCCATCAGTTGGTTTTTTAAGTTGGTATTATTTTGACAGTTGGTAACACTTCCATACTCAACATATTGATAGATATATTGTGCCAAACTTCCGATGTGAGCAATGTATCGTTTTAATCTTGAACAAAGTTAGGAAATATTGAAAAACTATTTTCAAAGTGAGTGCTGTGCTGCCTAAGCTTTGCGAAAATTGAGAAGACCATTTGGTCGGAATGAAGTTCCGTCCGCGACTGGTATACGAAAAACCGTGTATAAGGTTCGTGAAACTGGCCTCCTTGTGGATAACAGAAGGTATGAGCTTGTTCGACCCGTACGTACAGTCGAAAACATTGCTGCTGCTGCCCAGAGTGTGCGTGGAAAAGCAAGAATGTCAACTCGGTATAGAGCACAAGTGGGCATCAGTCGCACTTGTGTGCGGAGAATATTGAATAACGACCTGGATTATTTCCTTACAAGGTGCAACTTGTGCAAGAATTGAAACAAAATGACCATCCGCTTCGATATCGTTTCTCTACGTGCGCTCTAAATCAAATGGAGACGGACGTCTATTTTGAACGCCAAATCATCTTATCGGACGAAGCCCCTTTCCATCTGAGGATTTACGTTAGCAAGCAAAAAGTGTAACTGTTTGGTGTGGCTTTTGGAGTGGTGAGATTATTGGTCCCTAATTTTTTCAAGATGAAGATGATAACAGCGTGACGGTAAACAGGGAACGCTATAGAGAGACATCTTGAGGACCTTTCGTGGCCACTATTAGACGACATGCACTTGCACAGTCTCTGGTTCCGGCAGGACGGTGCAACATGCCACACCAGCCGTGAAACAATCGATCTTTTACACACTAAGTTCGGTCATCGCGTTATCAGCCGTTTTGGAGACGTTCATTGGCCAGCCCGCTGCTGCGATTTGACGCCCATGGATTACTTCCTATGGGTTACTGTTAAGGACCGCTGTTATACTAACGATCCTCAAACAATTTATGTTCTTTAAGAAAAATATCCGTCGAGCTATTGTTGAAATAGACCCACAAACTATCGAAAATGTGCTTCAAAATTGGGTTAAGAGGATAGACTATTGCCAGGCCTGCCGCGGCAGCCATTTAACTGAAATTGTTCTTCATAAATAATCGGAAGGTGTATTCTTTTGAATAAGGTATCGAGTGGTACATATTATTGAAGAGTGTTGTTTTAATACCAATTTAATAAAGAAACCTACGGATGAACGACCATTTATTTCGGAGCAAAAAACAATTTTTGTAATTTGTTGAAAAAAGTTGTTTACCGGGTCAGGACCCAAGTCTCTAGACTTACGTTAAAGGGCACCCAGCAAGCGCACCTTGTCTAAATAATGTAAATCTAAATATCATTATTATCGATAGTATTGCTTTTATCACCACGGCTTTGAGCTTATAACCCATCTCCTTTGTGCACGTATTCTAGGTATCGCATTACGTGATTCCTTTGTCAGACACATGTTGCGTGATACCCACCTTCTATGTATACATTCACCCGTTCACCGACACCCGACACAAACATATCAGATAAAATAAATATGAAAAAGAAGAAAAACAGAATCCGTTGTATTCTTGCTGCTACTCCAATGGATATAAAAGTATCAAAAAGACGAAAATTCTTGCTGCCGTGTGACCTACTTTACGAGAAACGCGTAGATCAAGACATCCTATGCATTCATGCCTTTAAGCAATCTTGCGTCCTGTCATTTGTCACATAAGTGACACGGAGCTATAATATTTGTATTTTTTTATTTGGCTGTTATAATCAAATACATTTTATGGCTTCTAACGGTACGTTTCCAATGCCACAAGTTGCAGGCACATGTAACAGGACTGTCTCAACTGCATGTTGCGCAACATGTACCTGCTTGTTTTACAAATCGATTCTTAGAATTTGTACAAGTTGGAACAGTTGTTAAAAGTACGACGTGTTGGCGACTTTAAATGCCATCTTCGGGCACATGTGACTTTCTAGAACTAAACAAAAGCATCAAACATTACAACACAAGATGCATTAGAAAAAGAGAAAGTCACTTAAGATTAAAAGTGGTCAATAATCTACGAGATAACGTAAAGTCAGAAACAAACGTTAAGTCCTTCAAACGGAATTTGTAAAGGTTTCTGAACGATCAGCGGTGAAGGGTGTTTCTCCTATAGGCATTTTTAATGTGTTTAGAAAATTTGTTTTATTCTCACCAGTTTTATTTCAGTGTCTTGTTACTGTTATTTTGACCTTAGTTTTAAGTTATTAACAGTTCCTTATTTTTTTGTAAAATCAATAAGCGAATTTGAATACATATCGGTACTATAGGAATTGTCAGAACAACTTGAAACTGGACACAAAATAATAAAACAGCAGTGAAAGAAAACGGATGACAATATAATTTCCCATACTTAACACATTAAAAATGCCTATAAGAGCAAAACTCTTCGATACAACGAGGGATGTCTTTTAAGTTTTGCATATAGAAACATAGTAGGCCGGGCGGATCGAACATCAGTACTGAATCTTAACCTCACTCCTTAGTAAACTTAAATTCAAAGTTTCAGAACAATAGGTGCAGTGTTCCCACTACAGTGAATTTTTCAGCGTCACCAAGTCATTAGAAAAATGAAACTCAACCAAGAACATTTTCGCGCCATAATTTGTTACAACTTTCAGAGACAATTATCGCAACAGGAATCCCTTGCTGGGTTACTGTCTATTTTCGGCAATGAAACGCCACATCAGTTGACAATTTCCCGTTGTTATGGAGAATTCAAACGTGGACGGGTGAGTCTTAGCGACGATCTCAGGGTGGCTGCACAAAAAACGGCAGTCACCCACGGAAACGTCGATGCTGTGCGCAAACTCATCATTGAAGATAGACATGTGACATGTCGCGAGATTGAGGCGTCCTTGAAGATATCAAGGACCTTACTTCAAAAAAATTTACGTGAAGAATTAGGAGTAAGAAAACTAGTTTCACGGTGGATACCCCACCTGTTGACTGAAGAGCAGAAAGCAACCAGGGTTAATTGGTGTCAAAAAACGCTTGACCGTTTCAATTCCGGAAACTCAAAACAAGCGTACAGCATTGTTAGTGGTAATGAATCGTGGATTTAGTATTATGAACCAGAAAACAAACGACAGTCGGTTGTTTGGGTGTTCCATGGTGAAGAAAAGCCAAGAAAAGTCATCCGTTCTCGAAGTGCTTCGAAAAAGACATTTGTGTCAAAAGCGGGTCATATTGCAACAATTCCTCTTAATGAGCAAATAACTGTTACTGCTGATTGGTATACCACCAATTGTTTGCCAAAAGTAATTTTCGAGCTTCGAAAAATCATCCCCGAAAGAAGAATCATCCTCCACCAAGACAATGCAAGCTCGCACACAGCCCAAAAAACAAGGCAGTATTTAACGGAAGAAAACATGGATTTATTGGATCATCCTCCATATAGTCCCGATCTAAGTCCTAACGATTTCTTTACTTTCCCGAAAATTAAAAACAGACTGCGTGGTCAAAGGTTCCAGTCACCAGAAAAAGCAGTTGACGCAATCAAAAATGCCGTTTTGGATCTGCCAGCAAACGAGTAGAACAAGTGCTTCGAAAATTGGTTCGAGCGCATGCAGATGTGTATTAATCTACGTGGAGAATACTTCGAAGAACAATAAAGTCATTTAAAACAACCTACCGTGTTGTTTTATTTCCATATGTAAAACTTAAAAGACATCCCTCGTATAAAATACTTATCGATCAGAAACCTCAAATTCTTTTAAAAATGTTTAAGGTTAGGTATTTTTTTTTCTTTTTTAACGTGTCTTGTGTAGTAATTTATGACGCTTTTGTGTTAGGTACCCACCTGCACCTGAAGATGCCATTTCAAGTCGCCGAAACGTCGTATTTTTGATAAATGTTTTAAGGCGACCGAATCCCAAGAATTTATAACTTAAGATCGTTTTATATTCAAGCGCTATTGAATTACGAGTAGTAATAGAAAATGAGACCAGCCAACCCTTTGATAATTGGTCAGTCCGATTAAAATTAACGGGTCTTTAATCTCGATGCCATTGATTGTCAATCCGTTTGATATTTGATCGGTTCGAAGGGATACGGTTATTCACCGGGTTGTTTTTACAACTTTCTCGTCTAATGCACAAAGGGAGGGGAGGTATACCTGCAGCTAACATGAAACCAAGAAAAAACGTCCAAAGTTTGAACTTCTGACTCATTTGTACATTGAAACTGTGTGATTTTAAGGAAACTATCGCCTGTGTCAGCCAAAAAATGTAACCCATGAGAATAGGAATCATATAATAAGTGAAAGGTACAACGGAAAAAAGATGGATGTCACAAATTTGACGTTGTGTAGTTAGAACCGGCAACATGTTGTCTTAACGCAGTACAATCCCATAAGGTACCCGAAACATGCAAAAACAATGACATATCGTAGTTATACCAAATTGAAAACTTACCGTGCAGGGGAAAAAGATGAATGTCACAGCCGTTGTATGAAAAAAAGATTAACGTCCACTGATCGTCACCAAAATTAGTAGGTACTACAACAATTTACCATACATCAATTTGCTATGAAAAAAATAAACGTTAAGCAATCATTTTTAAGCAGTTACCATTAATATTGTTTTGTTTGTTCTATATTCTTTTGAATAAAGCTTTTTTTGGTTCGTTGTTTTTTCTTGTCCAAATTAAGAAAATACTTAAAAGTAATCAAGGGGTTCCAGGCCCTGAGTAATAAATTTTCTGTTAAGGTTGTTATTATATTAGAACAGATCGTAAAATCTAAGATAGGCATTTTGCTTGTTTTATCAACCCTTAGATTTTACAGGGTATCGCATATGACGAAGGGCTCATTTCTAACCTCGATATCTAAAAAAAAAGTTGAATTCAGGCATGGATGCTATCACATAAAAATGTTTAAAATCATAAGAAGAACCTCAAAGTACAAAAATAAAAGGGATTTTTCATTAAAAAGTGTTTCGTCTGCTTTCGCTTATGGGTTACCCTGTATATCGAAAAAACTTATTTGTAATACAACTGTTTCTCAATTCCTTGTAATAAAGAATTTATGGTACTCCGTCAGATCTTTGACCCACCCTAAACAACGAGTCCAGAAATCTTCAAACTTTTAAATTCACTTTCCTCGAAATCTTTTTGTGAGTATAATTTTTTCCCCGGTTCCCTTCAAGTATTATTAACTATGGTTTTCGGCCCCGAATGGCCGGGTCGGGTATACCCTGGTGTCCAAAGGTTTTTGGGACCCAGGTTATACTTGATGAAAAACCTGGGTATTCGGGTGTCAACAAAAATCAGAAAAATTCAATTTTTTAGCGTAATAAACCACTGGCGCCTTAGATATAAGCCCATAGATGTCTTTTTTGTTAAAAAAGAAACAGAAAACCTAGAAAAACTTTGTCCGTTGCGAAAACAACAATTTTTGAAATTAATTTATAAAAAGTGTTCCAACAATGTTGACGCTGTTTTGTGCATGGCAACATGCAGGTCCGTTAAAATAAAGAATAGGATTATGCAGTCAAACAGAATCCGATTTTTTTTTCGTAGATTCTCGAAGATACTTTCGGTACTACTCACACTCAAAATCTTGGAAATAAGTGGTCACTTCTCATTGTCATGTTTCATTATTTGTTTTCATTTTTATGCAGTCATCAATTTTGCAGAACATACGTTTTTCACAATAATGACCACGACATTAAATTGGTCCCGAAAATGCAATAGAGAGAACATTAATTATTTATTGCTATTTATACATACAATGACCCTGCTGCAGATGGATTTTTGGAACAACTGACTTTTACGGAAGATGTTGAGGGCGTTATGAAATCAAAGTCACGTAAAATTACCGGATAACATGTTCATGAACAGCAGAGCTCGCAATTTAGCTATACTCGTACTACATAAAGCCCTATTATCCATAAAGCCAACTTCAAAGGACAGCGAACGAGCTTTCTCCGTTGCAGGAAGTTTTGTAGCAACAGCACGGAAAAAGCTTTCGGTTCATTCCCTTGACGCATTGATATTTTTGCAATCCTATTTCATTAATAAATCCGATATTAATTAAGAATAACGTTCGTTGATCTCCTGGATTGCTTAAAACTTCCTAGGCTTTAAAATGAATAACCTTGATCCCTTTTCTAAGTTGTTACATGTTAATTCATGTCGTTGTTTTGCTATTAAGGAGTTTATTTTTTTAACAATGCTCAGTAGTTTTTAAGAAATACAAGAATGACATCGTTATAATTTTGTCAGGAAGAAGCTGATCTTTTTATGTATGTATATATATATATACAGGGTGACTTTGAAGTTGAGTCATTAATTTTCAGATAATGATTGTAGAAGGAAGATAAACCAAAATATGTGTGTAAAAATAAAAAAAAATTAAAAAAAAAATGTTACCTTGTTTTATAAAGTATCCTCCCGACAAGTATTTCAGTGCGGACCTGTGCACCCAAAAGCATGTCACAAAAACTGTTCGAAATGATTTCCGTTTTGCTCGACGCACAGCTGGGCGCGTCTTAGCCATGTCTCTTTACAAGCGCGCAATAAAATCACTGGTTGATTTCTGATCACTGTACTCATTTCCTCAATTCGAGCACGTAATTCTTCGCGTGTATTAACCGGTGTTTTATACACTAGAGATTTTAGCCAACCCCACAAACAAAAGTCTAAAGGATTAAGTCCGGAGACCTTGGCGGCCAAGGTACAAAACCGCCACGGCCGATCCAACGATTATTAAATTGTCTATTTAAAAATTCACGCACATTTCTTGCATAATGGGGTGGTGCCCCATCTTGTAAAAACCACATGTTTTCTCTAATATTTAAAGGCACATCTTCCAGTAAACCAGGCAAATTGTGTTGCAAGAAATCAAAATAATTTTCACCAGTTAAGCGATTTGGTAATTCAAAAGGCCCCACTAAAATTCCATTAACAATTCCCGCCCACAGGTTGATTGGTTCAAATCGCTGTTGAAAATTGGTTTCCCTTATTTCATGGGGATTTTCAATAGCCCAAACGTGAGAATTACGTGAATTAATAATTCCGTTTCTAGTAAAGAGGGCTTCATCACTCACTAAAATTTGATTTAAAAAATTGTCATCATTTTGATGTTTATTTAAAAGCCAATTGCAAAAGTCAACCCTTTGTTCATGATCTTCCGGTTGTAAGGCCTGCACTTTTTGTATGTGAAACGGATAGAACTGATTTTCACGTAGAGTTTTCCAAGTTTTATACTGACTAATCGCCAATTGAGTTGAAATTTGTCGGGTGCTTACTGTTGGATCATCACTTACTAATTCTAAAATTTGTTCTTCTAGTTCTATTTGATCGTGTGGTCTTGGAGCACCGGCATGATCTCCTCTGTGAGGTCTTAAGTCACCTGATTCACGAGCTCTTTGCACTACATTAACAAAGGCACGAGGGGTTGGTTGCACTCGATTGGGAAACCGATCCGCATAGATCCGTGATGCCGCGGCAGCATTTTGTAAAGACTCCCCGTAAATAAGAACCATGTCCACAAGTTCAGCATTTTCGTAAACATGTGCCATTTTTGATTTGAGCCTCGCAACAGACACGATTATTCACTTACGCGTTACCGACTACCGACTGATACTGACTGTATACAACTGAAGAAAATAATTGTAAAAAGATCGTTCCAAATTCTTTCGCTTTTTTGTTTCCGATGCGATGAACGGATAAGGCGGATTATATCTGTTGTTGCCAAACACGAGAACATAATATCATTATTGAGACAGGGCGGTACTCAAACTTCCAAAGGGCTATAACTTTGTTACTTTAATTTTACCAGAAAAATGGTAAAGGAAAAAACATTTCTTTTGATCAGATCTACTCACTGTTAAAATAAATGACTCAACTTCGAAGTATATGTATATATATCTGATTGGTCTGAACTGAAGGATAATTTGAGGTTTCAGTTTACTAATTGAAACGACTCGTGCACCACCCGGGTATCTAGGTATTTAAAAAAATACCCGATACTCGGGTATGCGAAGACCCTATCAGTATATGAACATGTCCGGAAATTACAGATACCCTTATTGTGCTCAGCGCTTAGATCTCAGAACTAATGTAAAATATTGGACCTAATGTATTCGATAACATCTTCTCTAAGTGGCAAGTAGCGAAATGATACATAATCTTAGTAATCTGAGGTAAATAAAAACTTGGATTAACAAAGTTCCTTTAAGCTTCTCATAGCTGTAGCGGTGCTCTGGTATTTAGGCTTCAGCCTGCGAGGCTGTTTCAGTATAAAAATTATTCATATTTGGGCAAAATGGTAGCTTCCAGTTCTGTACCCACATTAAAATGATCTTCTCAATAATATAAATTACTTTTTGGAGATATATTTTTCTTTTCCTGATGTTACACTAGCTTTACATTCGCATCTGCGGGTATATGGAAAAATACCTTATTCGGTGCTTTTCGTATCTATTTTTGCATATATTTATGTGCGATACAGTATTCATTAGGTACTAAGGTTTTCCTTCTCTATTCATGTTTCTGTTTTTTTTTAAATTGAAACTAGACTATAAAAAATAGAATATAGACAGCAAGTTAACCAAAAAGACAATAACGTGAGGTGTCGAGGATTATAACGTAAAGCACTGCAAAGCAAAAATGCGACATTGGCATTGGAGTTTAAACAAATATTTACTCAACAATAACATTTAATGCAATATTTGCTTACGGTATTATATCAATGTAAATAATGGACAGAACACAGAAAAAAGTCATTGTATTGTAGAAGTATTCAAGTATATTTCAAAATATTGTCTGGCTTTTAAGCTGACATAATTAAATTGACAGAATACATTCATCATTTACCTCTGTATTTTTTTGTTATAATTATTTTTCTAGAGATGAAAGCTGCTTCTTAATAGGAAGTAGTGGCCATGTATGCTTGAAATACCGTTTACTGACGACCTTTTCGAGTATGAGATGTGTTTTTACAAACGCGCTTTGCAATATGAGT